GAGTTGCCATACATTTACAGAGCTGATATTGGTAACTAACTCTTCAGTTCATTGCTTTGTAAGAGTTTTTTAAGGAAGATCAAAAGGACACGTATACATGCTAAGATGCAGTCAGATCAAATGGGTTACTATAGCTACCATTTCAAAAAAAAGGGACAGATTATTTCATTACTCTGTTTTATCCCTGTGTTCATTATAAAAGTAATGTCTTCTTATTAGAAAATTAGAATTTTTTTTAATGAGGAAAGTCTCTACATACTGATATGAAGAATCTCCAGGATATAGATGCAAAGTATAGAAACAGTAAAGATAGTACGTTCCTTTTTTTTGGTAAGAGAAGGAAGGATAAGAATCTGTATCAGCATTTGTTTATAATTTTTTTAAGTCTGAAAGGATAATCAAATTAATAAAAATGGTTAGCTCTAGAGGGAAGAAGAAGGAGAAGGATGGCATGGATGAATACTAGGGTGGGAATAAGACTTTTTTTTTTAATAATGTTTTTACTTCTGAACCACTTATGTATCCATGCAGAAAAACAGGTAACAGTCTCAAAGAAAAGCCCCAGAGGAAGCATTATATGGAGATACCCTTAGTATTCCTTGCAAACTAGCCTGTCTACAACCTTATGTTTGGAGGGAGACTTGTTCAGCAACAGCAGCAAAGTCATTTCAGGTCCAACAACTCCCAAATAGTGTAATGTCAAGGGATCCTCAGAACAGTGCTTTTTCCTTGAGGAACAGCTTTGAGTTCCAGTATGTAGTAAGAGAGCACCGGATCACTCTTTTGCTCACCCCAAACCCTAGTTCTGCTTTGACACTTGCTGGACATCTATCTCATTTCTTTGCCTAAACACATCTCTAATCTCTACCAACTCCAGGTCTCCATAGCAAGAGAATAACCAAGCTTGAACAAAAGTTATGTCTGTATTGCTGTAACATTCTTATTTCAATCTCTCCCTCCTCCAATTTCTCACAGCTCCTTCTGTGTTATACAAGCCTGAGTCCAGCACAATACTCTGCCCTAATCACTCTGCCCTCCATCCAGCCTCTCCAGCTGAGTCAATCTCTAAGTGATTCCCAGCTACTTCACTGACCACAGAGGACTTCTTCAAAACATTCTTCTAAGATAGTTACTGAGACCTGGTTTGGAAGATGGCAAGAAAAGAAAATAATTTTTAAAGTGCCTGTAAAACAGTGGCTCCAAAATTGACTGCTAAGTCAACAGAAGATGTTGAATTGTTTCCTAATCAGTCTCATGACCTCCATAAGAACAGGGATAGTACTTACATAATACCTATTCAGATACACACATCAAAATATTATTAAGAGAAAAGGTAAAGAGTGGCTTAATTCATACCATTAGGATGCTCCTCATGTAATCCTTATACTGAAGTTTGAGATTTACTGGTATCAACAGACATTTAAGGCTAGGGACTGTGTGCCAAGATGTTAGAAGTTTAAGTAATACTGATCCCCCAACTAGATGGTCTATGTCTCAGACAATGACATTTAAAAGGACATTTGGTCAGAAATAAAATCTGGAATCCACAGATAATGGCAGATAGCACCTTGGATTTAAAAGTTACCATTTTGGTCTATATATTTCTAGAAAAGTGTGACACAGGTATACACTAAAGTTGGGATGACTAGAAAGAAAGAGGCTCTAAAAATGAGACTAACTGGGGATAATTAGGAGTTAACAAATGACACAAAGGGTTGCCTTTTGACTGTGAAACTTTCTGCACGAGCATATTCTTCCAAGTTAGACCAGGGGAACTCCCTGAAAAAATAGATTCAGTATATAACCTCTGGCTAGTTATCAATATATAATGTGGGTAGGTTCTATTATGTGCTTAAAGTACCTTTTCAGCAGAAACTGAGACAGAGATGGGATTATGAGTGTGTATATAATGAGGCTACAATGAGCTACCAAGCTGATAAAATACAGTCCTCTCTTTGAGCCCTCTCAAAGGAAGACTCTGCTTTCACGAAGGCATCAGATGAAAAACAGAAACCTCTTCCAGCCTCTGGACCCGAAAAAGAGCATTAATATTGCTACTGTAGAAAATACTTGCTGCAACAGGACAAGATCCTTTGTAAAAGGACAAGCTGTAGCTTTCTGCGTAATTTAACGGCTGATCAGTCCTCCAAATAAATTTCCTGACAGGTAGAGGGCAGTATACTAAGCAGCTTGTATTTGGAAAGGACAGAGGTTGCCTCTCTCTAACGTGATGACATCACTACCAAACGTAACAATGACACATCTAAAATAAAAGAGTTCCATGTGCCATCTGGTGGCAGAAAGCAGAAAAGCACACTGCTGCAAATAAAATAGCAAATTCCCCAAGTCGAGAAGAAAATTAAAATGTAATTCCTTTATCTGATGCCGCTGTCCCTTAAACTTCCACCAGAAAGTCTTCTGTGGAAACTACATCAGCAGACTTCATGCAATAGCTTTAAAATTTTGCCCCAGTTTAGCTCTATACTTCTCAACACTGGTTGTAAGCAAGCAGCAGCTCCTAAGGCTTGAACTTTGGTGCACAGAATAAGAGAATTAAAGTTAGACTAAAACAAACAAAATAACAAAAGGACTTAGAAGGCTGTCAAAAGCCAAAGAAGAGTCTGACATGACAGATAACACCAAAGACAGCTTATTGTAAGGAAAAAAAAAACCAGAGTAACAGAATCAGAAGTTAGGAACTGAAAGATATCTTTTAGGTTCATGTGTCTCACTTTACAGATAGAGTCAAGGTATGAAAGATAACCTTTGGTGCAATCTTATTAGTGGTCTGATTAAAACAAGATATCACTTTTCCCCTACTATACATTACCATAAATAATTTTTTTTATTTTTGGTGGAAGTATAAATTGCTATAATCTTGTACCTAGAAACTTGGGCCCAGAAATCTGATTTTTAAGAAATTACTGTGCAGAAATACAAGCTGGCAAAGACAACTAGAAATAGATGTTTCCTAAAGCACTGCTTGTAATATAAAAAAATGGAAAACTTATTTGTATTATATGACAGAATACAACTATCTGAAATAATGACGCAGATCTACATGTAAGGACATCGAAATGCTGAAACATGTTAAGCAAAATACAAAACAGTATATACTGTATGAGATCACACCAATTGCATTTAAAAAGAAGTATATATACCTGCATGTTTCTGTAAGTTTAATTTCCTTGTCCCATAATTTTCCAGTAAAGTTTTATTCAAAATTTACCACACTTTCTCACTTGAACTAAAAAGGATTTTCCCATTCCTTTATTAGAGTAACATATGCATATAAAAAGTATGATTTAACAGGACATCTTTTTACCTTACATTTCCAGTGTATTCTACATACTTGTTAAAAGGAAGATAACAAATTAGTCCAGGAACTGGCTTTAGACAGGACCATGGTAACAAATGAAGACAGAGGTAGGTAATAGTAATGATGGAAGTCTCTGGAAGTTCCTCTTCTGACAGCTTAAATTTTGTCAGTGAAGTAGGAAGAAAACATCCTCAACTGAGAATGAGGATGAGGGAAGTTTGGGCTGTTGAGGAGGAAAAAAAGGTGTGAAATAATCTGTAGGAGAGCAGGAAATTAAATGAATCTGAAATGCTCAAAATATGATTGCCTGGCAGTATCAAGGGCCAAGCAACTTCATAAATTAAGCAGAGGAGAGTTGGGAGAATAGCCAGTGAGTTAGCAGGAAAAGTAAAAGTGTTTCCTGTCCTGAAAGCTAAGAGAAGAAAGTCTATCAAAGGAGGGCCCAGTTGTGTGGTTTTCTCCAGCCATGTTCAGTTGCACACCTACAGGAGCAAGACAAAGACAGAAATGGAATTAACCAGGAATGTGGTTTTGCCAATCAGGTATGAAATGAGAGAGGTAATGGAAGAATAATACCCAAGGGAATGATTATAATGATTTACCAAGGAATTTTAGCTGAGGGAAAGAATGAAGTCATCAAGAAGGTTAAGGACAGTGAATGGTCTCTGCAGGGCTGGAGGACTGTTGGGGTCAGGATACCAAAGAGAATAAGGTAAAAAGATAGAATCCTGGTGGTATGAAATGAGATCCTAGAAGGGCTACACTTACTGCAATGACCATAGTGTGAAATGGGTAAGGTAGGATAGAGGACAAAATCTGTAGAATTCAAAGAACTGAAAGGCCAGAATATTGGCAGGATCATGATCTTTTTGTATAAAAATTTCTAAGAATTAAGTCAGAGGTAGTATTGGAGTATAGAAGAGAGTGAACATAAGACAAGAGCTAAATTGGTGGAGAAATGAGGAGTAATGTGGGTGGCAGTAGATGACAACATGAAGAGGGAAAATGGGTGACATAAGTTTATGTCAAAAGATTTGAAATTGTTGGTTTTTAGGAACTGTTTCCTTTTAGGAAAAAGAAAGGCAAAATGATCTGAAAGTGGCAATGAAGAACAAAGATGACATCTACCACATCTCCAAGCCCACTGGAGTGAGGTTTATGAGAACAAAGAAAAACAACCACATGAGCAAGCAAAAGGGAAAGCAGTATTGACAGAAAACCAGGTTTCCAGTAGAACAAGGTAAAAATGTTTTGCCAGTAATGGACCATGAATTCAAGAAGGCACAGTGGACCCATTTCAGGAGCGTAGGTGGGATGGGAGGAGACAGAATAGGAAACACGCAGGACCTTATGGTGATTAAACCATGGGAAACGAAGGATGACCTAGGAGTCTGGGGCTGCCTGTGGTAAATGACATAAACCAAGATAAATGGCATAATATTAGATCCAGTGGATTAAAAGCAAACGGTGATGGAAAGGTTGGGGTGTAGAGGGGCACATGAGGGGGTAGTTTAGGTTCCTTTTTTATGCCACTAGTGACAGTAAGATGAAAGCCTGGAAGAGGTTTTTACTTTTTCCGTGTGAAAGACTTCTGGCAACCCCAGATGATAGGGATGGATTTATGTTTTTAAATCACAAGGGACTATCATCTGATATCACAGAACTTCCCAATTTCTTTGTGCTAGTAGTCTGACCCTACTCAAAACCCAAGAGAAGCTAAGTAATTAAAAGGTAAGAATCCCAACAAATGTTCACTTGACACACTTGAGTGGAATAAGGAACTGATGAAACAGACATCTTTCTGCCAACAGACTCACTGAACAAGGTAGAGCAGGTTGAGCTCTCACAAAATCTTGCTGCTAAAGGTTAAAGCTGCAGAAGCTATAGATTCACTAATAAAGATCCAACCGGGTGAGTGCCACCTAGTGGACAGAAAAGAATAATAGGGGAAAAAAAAAAAAAAAGACCCCTACAATTCTCTTTGGGAAAGGGGCTCCTGCTGAATGAAGCCTGAAGCAAGAAAATTATGTCAGAGCAGCAGACAAGTAAACCTGTCTGTTGTGGCTAACAGTTCTGACTTCTGGAACAATAGAACTGGAGCCACACAGTCAAATGCTAACTAGAATACTGTTATTTTTTAATAAAATTCTCTGCTCTTAGTGAAGATCTTACTTTTAGCCAGAGATTTTTCTAAATTACTGCCATTAAATATTTGGAGAACTGTTCTGATGCTCACAGTTCCCATAATGCATCTCTAACAAGACTAATGTTCCGTATTGTTTTTGGAAGGAAGGAATAAACCTAAAAATAAAAGTCACTGTACGTAGGACATGAGTTATCCACCATGCTATGATTCAAGAGGTGATAGTATAATGATCACGTAACAAAAGAGAATAAGAGAAGAAATGCAAAATGAAAACTGGTTTATCTTGTACATACAAATAACGAACTGCCTAAGGCTACTATATCAATGAAAATGATCCCTTGGAAAAGATGGAAGAAAACAATTTAACTACTGGACATGTTTCCAAGAAATTCAAAAAGAGCTGACAAAGAGTCCATGATAAAAGAGTCTTTGCTGATCACTATAATAAGGAAAGTGAGAATGTGAAAAAGGACTAGAAGTTTGACGGTATTGTCTATCAAATGTAAATTCAAAATATTCCCTGGCAGGGAATAAGTTAACTGAGTAAGTAAATTCCTCATTTATGGGAAATAAAGCCTTCAGAAACACGACACTCATCTTTAAAAGAAAAATAATGGGTAAAAGAATCTGGAGGATAAAATTTTAGGACCAATACCTGTGACACCCTTAGCTCTCCTCTTGTAAAAAGGCACACATATTCTTGAACATTAATAAAGCAGTAACTGGAGACTTCACTACAGAAGGCAGATGTGCAGAGTGAGGTATGTGCTTTCTTCGATGCCCATTCTTGGAGGGACCAGTAGGTATATTGAAGGTTTTAGGTATCAATAAAACATAAGGGGGATACTGGCATGTTTAACAAATAGTAGAGCTGTGTTTATCAAGCAAGAGAGGAAATAATGCAATATGTGAGAACCTAGTGTTCAAATAACTTCTTCATCAACACTGGCAACCACTGGGCTGAAATCATCTAAGCAGTGCTTCTACCAGACAAAAATGTCTTAACAAAAAAACAAAACAAAACAAAGAGATAAACATGTCTTATTTCTTCAACTGGATTAGTTTTGCTCGAGTTGAATATTGCCAGAACATGCCTTTTCCTTTATAACCCTAAATACCCAGTACCTCACTTACTTTCCCTAATCTATTATTGTTCCTTTTTTTCTACTCAGTCACTGCCAATTCAAGGACATTTGCGTCTGAGTGAATGAAGTGGTTCCTGAAGGCAGCATATCCCCTTCTTGCAGCTTTTGTCTGGATCTAAGCTTTCAGGGGCTCTTGGGGCAAGTATGTACACTCCTGGCACTTTGGAGTCATTGTTTAGAATTTGAACTCTGGCTCTGATATTTTTTATATAGTTTGGAAAAAGTTATTTAATCTATGTTGCTACTTCATCTGGAAGAAGAACTATTTACAAGGTTGATAATGAGTAGTTATCTATCATTTAATTATATCATCAATATTAAGACTATGAATGAGAGACTTGGCAACTGATACGGGCTTCAGTATTCACACTAAATTGGTTCAATATTCAATTCAGTATTCAAGAATTACTTTTAAAAAGTAGTAAGGATGAAAGCCTTTTTCTGAAATATAAACACTAGAGATGTTTAAAGCACTGGAAGTAAAGTAAACTTGCTGTCATACTGATCTGTGCTTTCTAAGTGTTTACTTCTGAGGTTTTGAAATTCCTTATCTGACAAAAACCTAAACCCTAAATAAGAAGCACAAAGACTTTTTACTAAAGTTTTCTTTTTTTTTTTTTTGGCCTTTTGTGAAGAAAGGGGCCACTTTAGTATTTTTAAAATACTACTATATCCAATTCATAATGAGAATATAATGCCCAAGAAGACCACTAAACTGTATAAAACCCAGCTAGAATTAATAGGAATACAAATAGAATTAAAAAATGGAGATGGGGGAAGGGAGAAAAGGGGCCCACTAGGTGTTCATTTGCAGTGGCACTAAGAGTGCAGAGCCCAGACTCAAGAAACTTATGCCAGAGGCCAATATAGGGATTCCGTGAACTTACAAATTAGAAAATCATTTAATTTTGACTTTGTCAACTAGTCTTTATTGATACACTAATACAATATACGTGGTCACCATCACAGTATTTTAATTAAGAGAGTGGAAGTAATTCCTTAGGCTGGACTTTGGCATGGAAGGGGACAGTTTTCTCAGAGGAAAAGGCCATTTTTGTCCTGAATGATAGGGCAACAAAACAGACCTGAGCATTATGGTCTTATACTCCTAGACACACACACACACACACACACACACACACACACACACACACACACA